CACACACACACACACACACACACACACACACACACACACACACAGCACTCAAAGTCTGCCTCAATCTGCACCCGTTTGTTCACACCAGGCAAAAAATGCATTTAAACCAGCTGAAGTTAAGTTTATAGCACAGTTTGAAATGTACACTGAAGGAAAATTGCATCACAACTTTATACTGCGGTCAGAGCAAACGTGATCTGCAGCGTCTGTCCGCTGCACGGCAGCAGCTCTAACGTAACAATGAGAAAGGACCGAGAGCTTTTTATTTTAATCCAGCAGGGAGAACAATACAGGTGTTCTTCTATGCCTCCTGTGAGCAGTTCCAGCATTTTTAAAAAGAAAAACAATGTGGACACGCAAATTACAGTGCGGTTTCAAATCGAAAGAAAAAACATGGCGCTCGCTGCGCTCCCGTTCGAAGTGAAACAAACACACAGCTGTTCTCTCTACCACACATAGCCTGACACAGCGGGCAGAAACAGCTAAATTAGACAGTTAAAACACATTAAAAGTTCATAACTCACCCCTATTGTTGGCAATCTGTGGAGATTGTGCCGAGGCTGTCACTGTTAACAGTGAACACCAGAGGGTGCAATTAACAGCTTTCTTTGAGGCACCYAAATAAAGTACCGAAATTAGAGTTCTGTTTCGGTCTGAGTACTACCGTTGATCTTCGCCCCAGTGCCATACTGGAACCGAGTTTCGGTACCCAACCCTAGCTTCAACATGGTTGTTGTGAGGACATCACAAAGAAAGTACTCTGTTTATCTATTTAGCTGCAAACTGAATTGCCCTTTTTAGGATAAATAAAGTTGTTTGAATTGAACTGAATCAAATTGTTTTAGGCTCATGAGCAAATAAAGGCATTTCTCATTCTGTACATCACAGCTTTCAGTTTAACGTGGACAAAAGCACAGAGAAGAAAACTGGACGTTTTTATATTTTTATTCTCCTGATATAGCTTGATTATTGTGAACAAATACCTTAACCACGTCCACGTCCGTTGAGCTGCAGGTGACTGAGTCGTCCACCACCCTCACTTGGCCGTCGGTTTCCACTGTAACCAGTTTGATGGGCACCGCTACACGCCGGCCAGTAAGAATGGCGGTGTTCACCACCTCTGTGTCCTGCAGAAGGAACAAACAGAAGAAAACTTTTGAGACAAATTTGTTTTTGGGTTCGCTCAGACTTTGACAAATGGGAAGTTCATTTGACCTTAAACCATTCTATTTTACATCCCCAACAAGAAACAATCAGGCCACACTGGAATATATAACTGTTTACTGTAGGTACACAATATAGATGATCTAATATTCAAAAAACAAATTTTGTAAATGTCGCTTTGACAAATGTGCTGTGATTTTCGGATTTATAGCTCCTCTTTGTGACAAAGTGCACAATGAATTTTCTGAAAACTACCATCAGATTCTTCATGAGGTGAACAGAAAGATATGATCGATGATTATAAAAAAAATGCGGGAGGAGAAACAGGAACGAGCAAGTAATAGAGAGAAGGGGAGAGATTTAAGGAAGAGAACGGGGGGGGGTGATTATAAACCTCACAATTATTGTAATCAGTGTGATTACATTTGATTAGATCCTTCCAACAAAAATAGCACAAACAAACCAGCACATGCACACACCTTGGAACAGCGCGTGTTAGTGTCAATCTTGATTATTTGGCATTGAGCTTCCAAGGGGGCATTTATCACCACCAACACGAAAGCAAGTCTGATTACAGGGTACTTTGCTTGTCCTGCTTTTTCTGGATATTATGCATTAATATGTGTGTGTGTGTGTGTGTGTGTGTGTGTGTGTGTGTGTGTGTGTGTGTG